CTGTCCGTGCTGGGGCAGGACCCTCCTGCACCCCGGCACCCCCGGGAGTCGTGAGCCCCAGCGTTGCAGGGAAGTCTTGAGCTCCAGTCCAGCAAGTGCTCAAGCCAACGCCTCGCTTTAGGCACAGGAGTAGCTCTGTTGGCCCTAATGTGGGTATTTGCATGCTTACAATTAGGTAGTTGCTTTAATGCTTTACCAGGCCGGCCGCTTCGACTCTACGCTCTGCTTTGTAGGTGAATCAGATTTATGGTTAGAGTACTTCCTAAAAGGCGTTGACGAAAAAACCCCACGCTAACCTAACACAGCCCTCGGCTATATGCAATTTATTTTTTCCACTTAATCTGTAGCATGGATGTAATTAATTTTTCGCTTTATTTTCTAAAAAGTACAGGGAATTTCTGTGAGGGCTGAATTAATACTTTTACAAGGCAAAGCTGCACTTTGCAGCGTTGCTTGGAGAACATCAGGAGATTGTAATGTTGTGTTCAACCCTGATTTATTTACTGTTTGGCTTGCGAATTTTGTCGGTGACTAAACTGCTTTCCTTTTTTGCACATTTTGGCTCTAAACTGATGTTTTTAATGTTGCATTAGTACAATGCAGTTATTGTATAGGGACTCCTTCAGTGTCTGACAGGCAAGCACTTATTTTCAGTTTGATGTGTTTTGTCTAGTTTTTGACCCATGAGCTTGTTCCAGTGTAATCTGATATTTCTTATTAACCTATTACTCTGCCTTAAAAAAAAAGCTAATTATAAACGTATGTAGGTTGTGGACTTGACTACCTTTATCAGAATCAGATAGTTATTGAGAACATACTTTAAAGTGATAGAAAGCAGAAATTATTATCTTAATGATGATGTAACTTAAAACCAAGCTTGATAGATGAATAAATGAGAGGAAGTTCATGCGTCCACTTTGATTCTTTCAGAAGAAGAGCCAGCTTCATCTAGGTCTCCTTCTTTTTTTTTTTTTTTTCTTCCTAGTAGTTCTTTCAGGGTTGAACGAGGGAAGTATTCAGCAGTCTGCAACCCCATAAGAATCACATTTCCTGTTTAAACTTTCAGTTGGTTACTTGTCCTGCTGCTTGCTTTCAAGCTCACCATGAAATAGGTGTTAATCATAATACCCATTCTTGGCCCCCTCGTTGGGCTGATGTGCTCAGGGTCCCATTGAGAGGTCAGGGTTCAAAAGAGCTTGTTAGGTATCGAGAAACATTGCCTGTACTATTTTAGAGGCTTGCAAATGGAGTCCTGAATCTATGATTATATGAGACCTGATTCTACAAAGTGATCAGGAGATGCCCTCCTCCTCTCCTGAAATCAAAGGGGATGGAGGGGCCCTCTTCACTTCTCATTTTCAGGTCAAGGAGGAAACAACATCCCGTAGTGGTAGATACTGGAAGCGAAGACTTGAATGTATAGGTTTTTTTGAGGGTTTTATTTTTCAGCAAGACAAATACTGCA